ATTGTGTAGGCTTTGTCCAAAATAAAGTCCAGTCCGAGCTAGATCACCCAATTTGTGGGTTTAGGTCCCAACATCCCGCTCTAAAGCAGCAAAACGCAAATTTTTTGAAATTCGAGAAAAAAACGTGAATTATATATTTTATCTGGGAGCGCGACTTTCATTCCAGAGATCGCGATTTCTTGGAGCATTGGCATATAGGAGGCAGTAATAGGTTGGAGAAGGGCCAAAGCCTGCTGAAAATGAAAATAGCTTGGGGTGCGTCGAGTTCGCCTAGGGAGGATAGATCTGGGTTTTTGGCTAACGGCTGGTGTTTGTTCAGGAAAGAGAAAGGGAGGAAGCAGTAGTGATAGCGTCAAAGGAAAATCAAACTTCTGAAAGAGGAGGTTAGGAAAGGAATGAAAATTTATTGAATGAAGGCAGAGATTATATTCGAGAAAGCAAAAAAAATTCTCAACTAAAGGTAATAGAAGAAGAGGCTGCAATGGCATTTGTCATCTGTAGAAGATAGAGTTGCATCTTCTATTGGTGGAGAAAAGAAACAAGTAGGGTTTTTTTTTTTTGCCATTAGATTCCTCTAAAATAAGAGGTGGAACAATGTCAAGATACAAACACACACATATCTAGAGTGAAATCGTGAAACATAATCAAACCCCGACTGTAGTCGGGATGACAAAGACAGAGCTTTCTTGGCTACCGAATGAGCCACTCCGTTATTAGCACGACCAACGAACGAAATCGAAGCACCACACACTTCCCCCAGAAGCAAAGCAATCTCTTGCAAAATACGCCCAATCCTAGTATCAAACACCATCTGATCCTTAGCTTTGTTGATAATCAACTTGGCATCCCCTTCCACCAACACATTAGTCATTGATCTCCCGTTGCATTCTTAGAGGCAATCTCGCAAGGCAAGTGTCTCTAAAATGTATGCATCATGGCATCAAGCATATGAGGTCGTCTTAGCTGTAATGACAGATCCAGATGCATGCCAAAGTACAAATGTCACAATCCCAACTTTATTGACAAGAGTAGCGCAGTCGAATGCCCCCTTGTAATGAAACAAACCGGCGCCGATCTCAGAACCTGCATCCAGCTGAATATGACAAGTACCAGATGGAGAAGGTGATTGGGCTCGATTGAGGAGAGCTGCATCATTTTCCAACACTTGGTGCTTCCACTGTGCCGCCAATGTTTCAAGTCAAACTTGTTTGCGATCATAGAAACCCGAACAACGATTCTTCCACAGTCGCCAAAGTAAGCAAACAACCTGTAGAAAAGATAATCCAAATCCGGACCCGATTCTCTAGCCAAGGTGAATCGGATAAAACCCATAAAATTGCCAGCGGAAGAAATGATCATTGAGACCAACCAAACGCCAAAACCTCCGAGCCAGAGGATAGATGAAGAATAGATGCTCCACAGTTTCTTCCTTCCGGCCACACACCGGACACACCGGAATAATTTCCATACCCTTGGTGGATAAAGCATCCCTAGTTGACAGGATTCCATGAATGCATTGCCACAAGAAAAAATGCAACTTCGGAGGGATTTTACGAGCCCAAATCCAATTCCAAATTGAATGATCAAGAACAGCAGCTCCCAATTTAGCTAGCGGTTTTCGCTGATTCTGAAAAGCAAGATGGTACAAAAATTTCACATAAAATCTACCAGAGGCTTCATAATTCCACACGAGAGAGTCCTCGATGGAACAAAGAGGTAAGGGAATACCTTGAATAATTCTAACCGAATCCTGTGAGAAGAAATGATTCAAAGTAGCAGTATTCCTATTGTGTGTACATGAATCAATCAACGTCAATACAAAAGGTGAAGCAGCAAGGGAGTTGGGATTGGGGACAGGTCTTGAAGGCGGTGTAGTTGGAAACCAAGTACCCTCCAAAGCATGAATAGAAAAATCGTTCCCCACCTGCCAACGAACCCCTTATCGTAATAATTCACACCCAAACAACACGTTGCGCCACCCCAAGGATGGATTACTCTCAGCTGAAGCATTCTGAATACTGCCTGAACTATTGAAGTATCTTCTTCGATAAATACGTGCTAGCATGCTAGACGGATCCATGAGAATTATCCAAGCAACTTTTGCTAGGAGAGCTTGATTAAAACATTCGAATTCCCGGAACCCAAGCCCACCCTCCTGCTTAGGCATACATAAACTCCTCCAAGACCTCCAATGAATCCTCCTTTGACCCTAAGAAGCACCCCACCAAAACCTTGCAATGTACGCATTAAGACGGTCAACCAAATCCTTCGGTAAACAGAAGTAATACAACACATAAACATGGACTGTTGCGGCCACTGACTTTAACAAAACTTCCTTAGCAGCAGCAGAAAGAGCCCTTTGCTTCCAACCCTGTAAAATGTAAATTAACTTCTCTTCGAAAAACCTAAAAGTTTCAATCTTAGATTTCCCAAACAAAGAAGGCAGACCCAAATAATGATCTTGAAGACCAATAGCCCCATCATTTAGAAAAGCCCCAAGAGCTTCCTAATCGGATTGAATCATGTTAGGGCTAATGTACATTGCGGATTTCTGCAAATTGGCCCTTAGCCCACTAAAACTCTCGTAATCTCGCAAGAGATCCATCAACTTCCGCCCATCCCTTATTGAAGCACGGAGAAAAAGAAAAGAATTATCCGCAAAAAGGAGATGATAAACCATCGGACAACGGACATTCATTCGAATTCCATGAAGATCATGATCACAGATTGCCTTTTTAATCAAAGTAGTGAACCCTTCAGTACAAAGTGCAAAAAAGAGAGGAGTTAGAGGATCTTCCTGACGTAAGCCTTGAGAGGAAGCAAAGTACCCTGAAGGAGAGCCGTTGGCCTCAACCGAAAAGGTAGTGGTAGAAAAACAGGGCTTAGCCTTGTTACCATAATCTTGGTAATGACCTTGTAAAGAAACTGGCAGAGGCTAAGTGGTTGAAGTTGAGTCACTCGTTCGACGTTCTCTACCTTTGGAATCAAAGTTAACCTAGTATGATTCATGTTACAAAGGAGGCGACCTGTCTGAAAGAAAGAAGAAATAGCTTTCACAACACTTGGACCAACGATATGCCAAAATGATTTAAAGAAATGGTTAATATATTTGTATGGCCTGAACTTTGACCATAATAAACATTCTGACCAATCCTTTCAATCTATAACATCCTGGCCCAAACTATACATCAAATTAACCAAATTGGCAAAACCCCATGTTTGACCGTTAACTTGGACGGTCAAACGCGTTGACTAACGGTCAACTTGCCACGTCAATGCCAAGTCATCAACTTTCAATGAAAAAAATTTATAATTTTCACCTATTATCATTTTCCTTTTTTCATTTTGAACAAAAAATGCATGTTACTTGATTTTGTACTCTAGTCCGAATTATAAAAAAAGAAAATTATAATAGGTGCAAATTATAAAAAAAAATAATAGATATTTGCTGACTTGGCAGTGACGGGGCGCGTTGACTAACGGTCAACGCGTTTTAGACATTTGTATCGCCTGAATCAAGGTTTGACCGTGATTGACGTTTTTGGATGAAAACTTAAACAGAAGGGCATGTTTGATCATTTTTCCAAAATACATGGGCATGTTTGATTTAAAAAATAGTAGAGATGCATGTTCGATAAAACGGCATAGTAGAGGGGCATATTATATCTATAACCCTATTACTAAATATGTAGGGCTAATTTAGTCATTTAGGTTTCGTCAATCCATAAGTTGATCATAATTAACCAAATTTGGATGTAAAAAGTAACAGAATGGTATGCTTGAGAATTTTTTATAGTACAAGTACATATTTGACGTGAAATATAGTAGAAGGGCATGTTTGAGAAAAATGAATAGTAACCAAAATAGCTACTTACCCTAATTTTTTCAGCTGCCAAAAATGCTATATTTGATACCATATACAACAGTCATTACTATTTACTATTTTATCATTAGTCATGCATTGTCATTAAACCAAACTTTATGTTGGCCTTGTTGTAGTTTTTACAAAAGCAATTTATGATTGTATATTTAAGAAAAGTACTTAAAAAACAATTGAGTATTTGACTAATAAAGTATTAGTAATTTTTAATATCAGAAGTTATGTAAAATGAAAAAAAAAAATTCTAACAAAAAATATAAATCAAAATAATAAAATTAGTAAAAATGGTTATGCTTTATTTTCTTCTGTATTAAATAATATTATTTTGTAAATGATAATAAATAAAATAAAATATGTTAGGATAATCTTGTATTTTCAAAACAATTTCTTTTTTGCAAAAAATCTTAATCAAAAAATTTTCTTTTATGTTAAAAAATATATTTTCCATTTTTTAAAATATATGTGCTTGCGAAAACAAAGCCACTTCTAAACGTTTAAGCTAATTTGTGACAACTTTGCACAAATTTGAACTTATTTTAAGAAAGAAACACGAGTGGTTGTTAGGTTGATTTCTTGCATGTTATCGCTTATCGGAATTTTACAATGCTATATAGCATTGGTGCTATAGGGTTTTACCTTTATGGTACAACTTGAAATTGTACTTTTAATGTTATGGTACAACTTCAGATTGTAACTATACTTTTTGTACAAATTCTTTTATGGTACAACTTAAACTTGTACCTTATGTGATGGTACAACTTCAAGTTGTAAAGTTGTATCATAACATAATGATACAAATTTCTTTATGGTACAACCTAAACTTATACATTTAATGTTATGGTACAACTTCAATTTGTACATTAAAACCATAGTCCAGGATACCAGATCGGACCGGCCGGTTGAACCGGAAAAACCGGAAACCGGAACAAGTCCGACACGATAGGAGAGCCCAGCGATTTTTTGTGTGTCGGCCGGTAATTTAGATAGTGCCGCCTACCAGCGAAATTTTGGCCGGTTTAGATCAGGCCGCCGGTACTTGTTTTTAATTATAAAAAAAAACCTTGATTGAACAACACAACATTGTTTTGTTTAAAGAAAATAAAAAGAAAATTTTTGAATTTCATCCGTCCAAACAAAACAACCCTAACCGACGAAATTCATTCGTCTTCTTCCTTCGTCCTCCCACCCTACTCGCACTCCCAGCAGCCGCCGAAAAGTTGAAACCCCTTCCAGAGCCTGCCTCCGTCCCCGACTCGTCGAGAAGCAACAGCAGCCGGCGACTCTGTCTGTCCGTCCCTGCCTCCTTCAGTTCCTCACTTTCTCCCCGACTTCGTTCGTTCTCGACTCGCCGAGAAACAGCAGCAGCCGGCGACCCCGACTTGCTGAGAAATAGCAGCAGACGGAACGAAACATTCATCCATTGTAGACGTCCGCCGCCGTAACATTGAGTTCAAGCATTCAAGATAAATGGATTCCATATTCCATTTTGTCCCGTCACTTTATGACAAATTAACAACGTTAATCAATCACATATGAAAATGAAATAGTAAGCGAATAGATGGGTTGATTTTGAAATGTTGTGGACGATTATTACTTGATTTTGTATTGTTGCATAGTTTGTTGATGGTTATGTTACCTATATCTATTTAGCATATTTTGTTGGGCATTGTTATTTGTCGTCCTAAATTAACTTATTTGTCGCCCTAAATTTTATCAAAATTACTTAAATATCTTTAATTTAATTTTAGGTAATTTGAATGACCAACTGTCCATATATTAGTGCTGCGACGTTTGCTCCCAACACATACAACTATACAACCCTCAATAACAAAATAAAATATAAAAGATTAATGATTTACAAGTTACAACTACACCAAATGTAACCATTAAAAAATTATACAAATAAAAAAGAATTTCCAAAAATTATCAGCGTCTGCCAATTTTCGGCGCCGCTTCGCCGCCACCTTCCATGTACGTGTGCAATTTTTTATGGTAGAGACCTTGTGCAATTCTCGAACATAGAAATCAATATCTGTCAATTTCCTCCCCGCTTGGCCGACCTTCTTTTTCTTCGCCTTCTTCCTCCTACTTGGTATCGACTCTGACAGTATAGGCCGAGCATCGGTGATGGTAGGGTTTAGGTGGACAGCTGCCTGCGAGAAGAATCCGACAGCGGCAGAAGCGACCGGAGGACAGAGGAGTTTGGCGGCGGCTGGCCAGGGAAATGGATTGTTTGTTTAGGGTTTTGTTAGAAATCGGGGTCAGAGGTTTAAAGTGTCAATTTGATGCATTTTAGGGCGACAAAAATTGAATTTTAGGGCGATGAATAGCAATTCTTATTTTGTTTTGTTATCCAGTATATTTCGGTTTTATCCGGTATTAGTCCGAAACGGTACCCTGATTTTGCCGGTACAGTTTTTTAACAAAAATATTTTTTTTGTTACCAAACGGTATTTTACCAGTACATAACGGTTGAACCACGGTCGTACCACAAAATACCCTACCACAAACGAGTCTTGTATGACTTCTGGTACGGTTTCCTGAACCATGATTAAAACACCAATACTATATAGGCAAAATACACTTGTATAGCCAAAACTTTCGTGTTTGTGCCAATAATAGCCAAATTTGGCGAAATACCACTTATAGCCAGCTTTTAAACTTGTTGTATGACAAATATAGCCTTTTCCATTAGAAACTTTAACGGTGTTAATAACACCGACAACTTATTTGACGATTTGCTAACTAGACGCCAACTAAGTGGACACAACGCCACATAAGCAAATAGTGACACGTCAGACATTTCAATTATTTAATATTTAAACATCATAAATAAAAAAATAAAAAATTGTTACCCTCACATAGCCATCTGCTTCGCACCATCTTACACAACTTTCCCCAATTTCATTTTAGGGTTCTTCCCAACCGCCTACCGCCTCTCCATCTTCAACCCCGACATCAACTTCCCAGAACCCTAAATGGAAAAAGGGGGCAAAAATGGCGCCTTGCGACGAGAAGGTGGAGGAAGAAGAAGACGACGTCGTCGATGAGAGGAGAGCTTCTGCTACTCTTCCAGGAGCTTATCTTTCGACGAGACGTCGTGTGAGTTCAGCCGCGCTGGGGAGACGACGGGTAGTGAGAACGAGGAAGGGAAGCTGCGGCGGCGGCGGGCCGGGGAGGGTGGCTGGAGGACGAACCCGAGTATTGGACCTACACTAATCCTCTTCCCCAAATCCTTCGATTTTCCAATTTTGGGGGTTTTTTAATTCAATTTTGTAGAGAAGAAAAAGGGAAATAAGTTAGTGCAGAGGATGATGTGGTGGTTGTGTGGTGGTTGGCGGTGGTCGACGAGAAGACAGAGTGGTGGTGGCGTCGCAGCGGTGGATTGTCGGCGGAGAGGATGTTGCGGCAGGGAGACTTACGACGATGGAGGAGGATAGCAGAGGAATTTGGAGATTTTTTGTTTGTTTTCCAGTGTAGGTTCTTTGGATTTCCGAGAGAAATAAAAGGTGGTTTTTTTGTTCATTACTTTAATAATAGTAAGAAAAGTCAATTTCCACCTAGTATGATTTTGGACAAAAAATGCCCATGTGGCTGACGTAAGCCTCGCCGTTTGCCCAATCACACTTAACATTAACAGCGTTAAAGAATTGGACAAAAAAGGCTATAAGTGATATTTCGCCAAATTTGGCTATTATTGGCACAAATCTGAAAATTTTGATTATACAAGTGTATTTTGCCTACTATATAGAATAATAGAAGTACTCCTTTATTATATCTTTAATTAATTAATGAATTGGCAGACACGAATGTTTAGCTTCGAAAAGTGAAGGTAAACTAAAAGCAGGGAAACATGTAGCAGGAATTGAAAAGTAAAGGCGTCAAAGGAAAAGGCAACAAAAAAAGTTGCAAGAAAGAAGGGAAAGGAATAAGGAGAAAGTGAAAGCCGAGTAATAGGATGGCAGAGAAGAAGACACAGCAGCCGGAAAGAGAGAGAGAGAGAGAGAGGGAGAGAGCAAAGGCATTGGTAGCAGAATAAGAGAGTGAAAGCAAAACATGAGAGGATTGTGCAGTGACCATTGTTTGTCCCCCTAATATTCCAATGAGGTCCCCCCTATAATCACATCACCACCCAATGGCAAAATAAATGAATGTGTAAATTCTAAATTCGGAGGAAAGAAAATTACAATCAACTAATCGAACCAAGTTAAATTGAACGCAAGTTGGTATCATATTTTGAGATAGTCGAGATGTTCGGAGAAAGAAGTTACGAGTTAATGGGAGAACTATAATTACAATCAAAAGGCGGAAGAGTTGTAGTGAGACATTTCTTCCTTAGTAATTTGACTTACAACTCCCTAAAAAAAAAATGACTTGTAACCCTTTTAACTAAGATCAAAATGGGGGGAAATAACAAAAGAAAAGGGACCAAATTAGAGAATAGAAGATTTTGGTTAGGGAGAAGGCCCATTTGAACTTGCTTGCTGCTCTGCTGCTTCCTACTTTTTTACTTCACAAAAACCTACTAAACTTGTAAATAAATCCTATGGACGAGATTACCCCCCACAAAATCCTACTAGCTAGGGCTTGTTTGGTTGAACAGCATTCAAGATTCAACCTCCCTCTTTAAGCTTGTTGCTTAGTTAAGCTTTTTAAGTAATCTTTCCCCTTGTTTCCTTTTCTCTTTCCCATATCTGCCATCCTCTTTCTCATAGCCCCAGCAAGATGTAGTAGACAAGGGTGAAGGGTAGGGCAATGAGCATCCCAAATATGACCCTGAAAAGGGAAATAACACACAGGGAAGGATATTTCCTTAGCAAAAAGAAGGAAAAGCAAAGTACAGAGCTGAGGTAGCGCTGCTAGGGAAGAGGAATCCAAAAATAAACACTCACCCAGTACTTAGAATATCAGGATGCACATTGTATTCCTTAGCAAAGACAAAGGGAACAATCCCCTGTGGTAGAGCTGCCTGTTTTGTTTTTTTGGGTTCAAGGGCAAAAACAGCACTTGCTGTTAGTAAATGTACACAAACAAAGTGACTAGAAACTAGGATAGTAATCCAAACAATACAAGGAAAGAATTGAATTCAAGAAAGCAAGAAGCTTATCCTGATAGCAGTTACTAATGAAGCTAATAAAGATCTTTCATAATTGAAAGAGATGGGGATTTATAGTTTTTTGGTAGTGTCAGGAGGAGGCAAAACACACAAAGGGTACCCTACAAAAGCTTGGGGTCCCAAAAGAAAAGGGCAGCGAAGAAACAAACAGACCTGAACAATGGCAATGTGAAGGAGAGTGCCCCTGAGGCCAACCACAATGGAAGCAGCTGCCATGACAGCTGGTCCAACAAAGAATCTCACGCCCATTGCAAAAGCTGCTGTTGATTTCCCACATGCTATGATCCTTGGCTGCAATGCCATGAACAACCCTACACCCCACACACACACACACACAAAAAAAAAGATAACTTTGTCAGAAAATATGTAGAGTCTAGACAAAGCGAAAAGGAAGGACCCCAGAAAGCCAAAGAGAGAGAAGGATTGCAAGCTTTGCACTTTGCCGGCCGCTGCAGCTGTGCAAAGCAAGCTAGCTAGCAGGCAAAGCATGCCCATTACTCCCTTTGCCCACCATTATGGCCATTATTGCTGCTTGCTTGCTTGCTATTGCCTATTGCTATCTCTCACATTCTCACTCACAGACCACAGTTCAGGCCAGGCCAGGCCGCCTCCTGTTCACTTCATTTTTCTTCTTTCCCTCATTCACTCGTCTCCCTTTTCAAAGAAACAACACTTTTCCTCCCCGGCCCTTTCACCAAGGAATCATCGTCATCATCACTCCCACCACTAACCATATGCAAAAAGTAAAAGAAAAACCAGCCAATGCTCATCATCATCTCCACCTTAAATCTTAATATGCTTTACCGATGTTTGTTCACTGATAAGTCTCCTTTTCTCAATACCCACCAAATAAAAAAGACTAATAAAGACTCTCCCCTTTATAGCTTTTGATCCAACTGAGGCACAAAAGGACCTATTAATTACTGCACCACCACCGCCGCTTCTACTGGTTAGAAGTTCTACTGTTTACTTTACTAAAACCAACATCCCCAATGCCCAAATCCAGAAAGCAACAAACTTTAGAGAAGAACACGAATTTGTATGATATCTTCTGCATAATGGACTTGGCTAGTTTGAAATTATACTGACCAAGACTGAACATAGCCATGCCGAGCCCTGCATCTGATAGAATCGAAATGGACTTGGCTATTATAGCAGGCATTGCTACATGCCACCTGCAATCCAAAATCAAAACCCAATCCATCTATCATCGATCACACCATTATCATCATCTACAGCAAACTCAGAGAAACAATTTTAAGGAAATGATAATGAACCAAGTCAAAGATAGTAATAGAGTCAGGAACGAACCTGAAGGAGACGAGAGACCAGATGAGACCAATCAAGCTGGAGTAAGTGTTGGGATTCCTGATCAGCTTCCTCCACACCATTATCAGAATAAGCCTCGTCATCACACTCGTTGGGGGCATAGCTTTGGCCCTCCCATCACCAGCAGCGGCCGCCGCGGACTTCTCGCCGCCACCACCTTCGTTGCCATTGTTCATGTTCATCATCTCCCCTCCTCTGTTCCCGAAGCTGAACTCGTCTCTCTCCACCAAGTACTCTTCGCCATGATTCTCCCTCGCATGCTGCTCCACTGCTCACCCACCACAACGAAACAAAACCAATTCAGAAATGGCAGGCAAAGAAAAAAAGGGCAACAAAACAAAAACTCAGAATGGTACCTTTCCCAGGAGGAGAAACAGCGAGTCTAACGTCCTTATGGTCATTATGATGATGGTTATGACCACCGTACTCATGGCTACCAAACACATCCGAAACCGGCGACGCGCTCGAGCTCCACACGAACATATGAAGATCCTTTCCACCTTCTTCACCACCGCCGCCGCCTTTCTGCTGGCCGTTAGCATTCCCTTTCTTACCTCCAGTAACAGCAACCGAAGGGGGAGGAGCTGCGCCGGCACCCTTAGCTGCAGTAGTCGGCGAAAACATCCCCGGGTTGGGAGCCGGGTAATGGGCCGACCCATGCCCGTACCCGTGAAACCTCCCTTTACTGTCCTCGTCGTAGTTAGAGGGCCTGGGAGTGGGTCCGCGGGACGCCGACATACAATAGACATCATTCGCCCCGAAATTGGAGCTCCGACCCGCCGCCATCATCGAGTAGAAGTCCGTATGGTTAAAGCTCGAGCCGCGAGGGGTGGGGTTCCTGGAGGACTGCAGAGAATAAATCTCGGCATTCGTCAAATTGGAGGGACGCGGGGTGTTGGACGAAAGTCCCTGGGACCTGCGAGAGAAGATATCGGATCTGGAGGCGTTGGACTTCCTGACGGTGATGTGCAGCTTGCCGTCGTCCTTAATCTCGGCCTCCGTCTCGAGCGGCTGGCGGCCGTCGAGCGACATGATGTCGGAATCGACGTGAATGGACACAATGGAACCGGCGGTATCAGGGAACTGCTCGGAAATGAGGAGCTTGGCGCCGCGGTACTCGAACATGAAGAGCATGAGGGTGTACCAGATGATGCACTGGAGGACGACGATCTGGACCATGAGAGTCCCGGAGGCGTCGCCGTACATGCCCTTGAGCAAGGGGATGCCCATGACGAGGGTGTTGGGCAGGGTGGAGAGGGAGAAGAGGGTTATGGTCCACTCGAGGGAGCCTCGGCGGGTGAGGTTGGACCAGAAGGCGAGGGCGACGAGGATGATGATCTTCTGGAGGGTGTCGGCGGCGATGAAGTGGAAGTTCATGGCGTAGGGGTCGTTGGAGGAGATGAAGTGGAAGGAGAGGAGCGGGACGGCGAAGAGGGCGACGAATCGGTTGATTCCGGAGCACTGGTCCGGGGTGAAGATCTTCCACCATTTGACGGAGCCGTAGGCGAGGAACATTGCCACGTAGAGCGGCACCATCGCCGTCATCACGTGGTAGAAATCTGCTCCGCTGATCATCTTTTTTCTTCTGGGTTTCTTAGTTTCTTGGGTGCGTTACCGTTTTGAGAGGCGCAAGGGAAGACAAGGGAGAGAGGAGGAAGGAGAGTGGGGAAATGGGAAGTAGAAGTAAGGGAGCATGTGGGTTTTGGCCTTCTGGGGTTTATGGGGGTTTGAAGAAGAAGAAGAAGAAGATGGTGGGAAGGAAGCGGTAGAGTGGGAAACTTTTATGAGTGAGGAGAGAGAGTGAGTCAGCTGGCTGACTCGGGTGGTGTTCTGTATTTTAGTTTTCCAGAGGGGAAATTAATTATTTAATATAATAAGAAAGAGGAAACAAGGGAAGGGAAGAAATTGTTTGTATGGTTTGCTTTTTGAGGGGTAGGGGGGCAGCTTTTGTATTCAGAAAACCGAGCAAAGGGTTGCACTTTGCAGTCCCCAATGCACAGGCGTTTGTCCCCTCATTTATCTTCCCCTAGGAGACCCAATAGGTCCCCTATCAAATGCTTCTAGTTATGATGTTTTAACCAGGCTATTAAGAAGTAGGGTGTGTCTATAGTGACATGCATGTTGTCGTAATATAGATTTTTTGGTCGAGTTAATATTAATGTGAGCACCATGAGGACTCATCGCGGTCGATCTCAAAATTCATATGATCGATCGTTTGTAGTTTAAGTTGTTATTTTTTGGTTGACCACAATAAAACCTCGCTCACCCTTTTCGTTGGCGTAAGAAGCAACATGGTCGACCGCAAAGGTATATAGGTCGACCACTTGATGGCGGTCATTAACAAAATGGTCGACCATTTACAAAAAGAGGCCGACCAGATTGAAGAGAAGTGTTGTATCCATTTATCCATCATATTTGACGTAAAATTCGGGTTGCAAATGAGCCGAGCCGAGTCGAGTTTTACCCCAGCTTGAGCTCGGCTCGTTAATAAACGAGTCGAGCTCGAGCTCGACTGGTTTATTAACGAGCCGAGTCGAGTCGAGCTCGAGCTAGCTTGTTTATTAAAATCTTAACTTTTATTTGGTACTTCATTTTGTATATCATGATACATATGATTTATTTTGTTAGTTAATCTAATCTTATACTTTGTTGGTATCATATATCGTTTAGTTAATAAATTTTAACTACTCCAAATCATGTTATTTTATTGTATCGAAGCAATCTATTATGCATAATTTCTTTTTAAAGTAGAAAAAAAGATATATTTGCTCACATACTCAACGTGCAAAACTTTATATATGGTGAGATATATAAATTAACAACTATATCAATTAAAATCATAAAATATAGATTGATTCGTCCATAAGTAGGTAATCGAGTTGGCTCTCTAGCCAAATGTTAAGATATATCATGAGCTCTAAACGAGCCAGCTCACGAGTTTAGCTCAACAAGCCACCGAGTCGAGCTAACTTGTGAGTTTCACAAGCTGAACAAAGATGAACTCGTGTTCGGCTCATTTATTATTTGTTGAAGTGCGAGCATACGCCTTTCCTCACTTCAACTTGGGCTTCTCCCTCCGTTTAATCATCTTTACCAACTTCAAGACACAACACTTGTCATTAACGACAAAGTTTTACGCTCTGTTTGGCAACGAGGGGGGTGCAAATTCGAGGGGGGTACAAATTGAGGTGCAAATTCGAGGGGAGAACAAAATGAAGGAGGGTGCAAATTTAGGTGAAAATTGTTGTTTGGTAAAAAAAGTAGGAGGGTGCAAATTTGTATATAAAAATAATTTCAATTAAAAAACTACATAAAAAATCTACATCACACCCAACTTGGCCCCACCTTCTCTCCTATTTCTCATATCTTTCCTTCCCCTCAGCCGCACAACTTCCTCCTCTCAGGCCCCACCTCCATTTTTCTTTTTTTCTTTCTCCCTTCTCTCTCCCTTGCACCTCAAATCGGAGGGCACACCAAAACAGTAGAAAAACCCCCAACTTGCTCCCCCCTCATACTGTTGGAATTTAACCAAACAAGTGCAAATTCATTGAAAACACCATTTGCACCTCCACATTTGCACCCCCCACCTTTTGCACCTCTTCCCAAACAGAGTGTTATGGCCCTTTAAACTTTTTTTTTTTAATTTCAGGGGATGGAATTCTCGAACTTTATTAACTATGAAGCTCCCTTAGATTGTCGGGTTTCTGAGATAATCACGACTGTAGCACATAATTAGTAACAAACAAAACGCGGAGTCAAGGAGCAGAGAATTAATCCTAGTAACTTATATCGAAGGCTATTCAGCTGCTCGTTAAGATAGATACTACAGTAATTAGTATGACTATATAGCGTCAGTTATAGGAATAACTGTAATCTGCCATTTTTTGAAATCGTATCGTACCGGTGTGTTATACAAGTACTAGAAAGAGATGTGATACTCGTTAAGCTTCATGAAGAGAGTATGGCATCTCTTTCTAATACTCGTATGGGTTTGAAGCGTGGTTAGATTGTCATATCCACAAAAAATTTATATCTGGTTTTACTTGTATGAAACTACTGAACCAGAATATTAAACCCCAATTTAAGTATAAAATATCCTACCACTAACTTATTTTTACAATCATTTCAATTTGGCTAGATTTTGTAGGGACTGAATAGGGTGCTAACACCCTCAAGTGTTCGCACCATACTAACACATTCATTAAGGGTATTATAATATTTTAATCATTCTCCCTTCCCCTTACCCTTCTGATGAATTGAAACTCTCGGTTCGGGAGTTTTGCTTGTAGCTAACAAGTGTCGAAAGAGTATGTTAGGTATTCGATAAAACAGACTAATGTTGAACTTACAATATATACAAACGTAAAACCCTACCCTAGACCTAGCCGAACTCGGCCTCCCAAGAGACCCATCTCTACTCGACTACTTCCTACTAATGACCCCAAGCCCATAACTAAACAAACATTAATCAATCAACCCAACTAGCGCCCACGACATGCACTCATCATTCCTCCCCCCCCCCCTTAATTTCTACCTCTTCCCCAAGGTTGAGGCTCCCACTCCTCTTCTTCGAACAAGCACATGATATTTGTCGCGCTGCACTTGTGCCCAATGGTGAAGCGCTCATCACAGTTGAAGTAGAGTCTCTGCGCTCGTCGCAATTGCTGCTCTTCCCAGCTTAGCCGCTTCCCTCAATGAGGAGGTCCCACACCCGTCAACGGTTCCTAGCTTGCAGACCTCGGTCCGTTCCATTTCTGCCATAGCCCGATGCTTCCGTGCCCAGCTGGGGTGCCCCGGTTCGACTAGCCAGTTTAGCCCGCTGTAGCTTATCGTTCTTCATCCTAGCCAGACTTATTGCATCTCTCAAGGTTTGTGGCCGGAACATCCTGATATCGTCGGCGATTTCCGACTCCAATCCGCCAAGGTAGGTACCCACCAGTTCTTGTTGTGTCCACCCAACACATCGATTGCCCAAATTTTCGAACTCACGTTGATATTCACACAATGACCCTGTCTGGAGGATGCGCAACAAGTCCACATCGCATATTTTGCCTTTCGTTGGCCCAAATCGAGCCCATAAGTCGTGCGTGAACAACTTCCACGTAATTGGTTCGCCAGCATCCTTATACGGTCGCTTCAGCCACGACCACCATTGATTAGCTTTCCCTTCTAGATGAAACGCAGCCAACGACACCCGCTGGTCAATCGGAACCTCCTGATATTCGAAGAACTGTTCCACCCGCAGAAACCACGCTCCTAGATCTCTCCCATAAACTTGGAGATTTCTAGCCGAGCTAGCTTCGCTAGGAAAGTCGTCCCGCTGGAGCCCTTCGGTCCACCGCTCTCACGATCCCCACCGCCTCCCAGGTCCGCGTTACTACCCTGGTCGCCGGTGCCATATTCTCTGTTGCTGCCTCCGCCCTTGCCAACTCCGCGGTCGTGTCGGTCGGTACGCTCTCGCCGCCAGCAGCCGCCGTCCCCGTCAGCTGATTCTTCCCCAATTCCTTCACCATGAGACGATTCAAAAGCTCCCCAGTCTGCTTTTGCTCGACCGTAAGATTCTGCAACTGGATCACCACCTCCTGCAGCGCGCCCTCCAGTGTAGTTGTCTGTTGGGTCAAGGTCGTCAAGATTTGGTTGGTTTGCTCCTGCACGGTTTCCAAATCTGTGCAATGCTCACCCGTAGTCCTGACCATCCTCGTTGCAGGCTCTGATACCAAATTGATGAACCAAAACTCTGGGAGTTTTGCTTGTAGCTCACAAGCGGGAAAACGACTTAAAGTGTTGAAATACTGTTTTAGATTTATTATTCGATAAAACGGACTAATGTCGAACTTACAATATATATAGATGCAAAACCCTACCTTAGACCTAGCCGAACTCCTCTACTCAACTACTTCCTACTCATGACCCCAAGCCCATAACTAAACAAACATTAATCAATCAATCCAACTAGCGCCCACGACCTACACTCGTCACCTTTTCCTTCCCTTCTCCTCACTTTCCATTCACGTTACTTTTTCATGTTTTATTTACAAATTACAATTTTGGTACATGAACTTAATAGGTATTAATATTTAGTACCTAAAATTATTCTTTTTACAGTTGAGTACTAAAAATATCGATGAAAAATTATATTTTGGTACCTGAATTTTAGACCTGGCAATCGGGTCTGGTTGGGTAATTTTAGGTTATAGTTTCAGGTTACGGGTCGGGTCATATTGGGTTGGCTTATTTCGGGTAAATATTGCCCAACCCATTCTGTTTCGGGTCGGGTTACGGGTCGTTTAGGGTTATGAGCGCTCTCAGAAATAGTATCAAACATACTTCATATTTTCTTAAAAACACAAATCTTCACATATGCATGGCAACAGTTTACCTAACACATGTCAATTAACATATTCTCAAATATTCCCATGCTAATGAAATGAAATACAAATTGCACAAATCGTGAAAAACAATCACAAGAGTAATACTACTACAAAAAAATGCATGATATTTTACTATCTTTAAACTCCAAACATGTCTTTCAAATTCTTGTGAATTTATTTTAAACATCTCACCAATTTATGAGCGATTTATCATTTTGGGAGTTACATATGAAATAGAACGGGTCGACCCGCTAACCCACCCAACCCGACCCAAAAAATAACGGGTTATCGGGTTCGGGTCATTCGGATTTCGGGTCATAAAAAATCCTATTTTTTGGGCGAGTTTGGGTCGGGTCAATGGGTCGGGTTTTAATTTGCCAGGTCTACTGATTTCCCTTGTATTTTGGTACCTAAACTTTTTTCAAATTTACAAACAGATCCACTACTTGTTGCATGCTTTATAAACTTGTGGCATGCATTGTGGACTTGGGTATGCTTTGAGGTTGTGGCATGCTTGAGGAGGTTGTGACATGCTTTGAGAAGGTTGTGGCATGCTTGAGGAGGTTGTGACATGCTTTGAGAAGGTTGTGGCATGCTTGGAAGAGGTTGTGGTCGGGTTCATGTCCCCCTCCCTTCCTTCCTCCCCTTTCCTAATTTTTCGTAATACCAAGTGTGCCCCTTATTCTCGTTCCCCCTCATTAATTGTGCTCAACTCATTTAAATAGAAAAGCCATCCAAACGAAATGTTCTGATTGACTGGAGCTAGTGTTAGCACCATACTAACAATAATAATGTTAGCACCCTAGCTCCTCTCGATTTTGTAGATGATATTCGACCCTATTTATGGAATGGTTAGAATATCAACTGAAAATACTAATGTGGTTAGACTACGATTAAGACTTTGTTTGTACAAATTCATTTATTATTTTTTTTTCCCGGTAATTGGAACATTCTTTTTAAGCCCTCTTGACTATAACCAGTCAAGCATCGAAAACAATACAAGTCTAACTAGCTGAGAAGACAGGCCTCCGCCAGCAACTCTCAAATGAGAAAACCACTATTTGCAAGATATGAACAAAAATCACTATTGCCTAAGCTATACAATCTTATATCCTCACGAATAGCAATAATTAGCGCACAAGAACTACTGTGATTACCTCCAAACACCCTAGAGCAATGCTCTTTCCAAATCACGCTAATAATCCAACACCAGACAGCGCAAACACTCGGCCAGCAGCCCCTGACTTACTCACCCTGCTGCATATATATCTGCTAAACAACCAGACCAGTCTCTTGGCCAACTGCACCAGGTAGCACAAAACAAATCTGAAAAGACCTTAAGAGAATACTCACAGTAGCAAAACAAGTGGTCTCGAGTCTCTTGCTCAACTCCACATAGGAGACAGGAATCCGAGTCAATAATCCCCCATTCAAGCAACTTATCACGCGTTCTTATTCTGTTCAAAAAGATCAGCCAACCCAAGAATCTATACTTTGGAATACAATATTTTCCCCACAAGAGATTATACCAAAAGTCAACTGGACCTCTCTCTCGAATAGACTTCCAGATGGTTTTGACATAAATTATCATCATTAACTTCCCTTCCCACAGAATGTGCCTAACACTTTGAATTGTAAGCCGAAATTGAAACAAAGATCTCACATGAAGCATTCCTCTCCAAACTCCAGAACTAGTAGAAGTGCTTTTAAGAGCCCATAGAAATCGTCCTTTCAATCGGTATCTCGAAATCCATGCCACCCAAAAGCTACCTCCTTGCATAAGAAGTAGCCAAATTAATCGAGCAATGCACGCGATGTTCCAGGCTTTAAGATCTATTATTCCCAACCCCCCTTCTTTCTTTGGTTGTGTAATAATCCTGAAAGTGACTTTAGCTTTACCAGTTCCCTTCCCATACCACAAAAAACCAGAACAGATTTTTTGAATACGAGCAAGCACTTTCTTTGGAAATATAAAATTGCCATCAATAACTGTATAAGGGAGTAAACTACTGATGAAATAAGTTCAATCTTCCATGCATAAGACAATTGGTTTACTCTCCAAGATCGAATCCTACTAGTGATTTTATCCACCAGCACTTCACACTCTTTTCTCGACAGCTTCCCAGTAAACAGTGGTAGACCTAAATAAGGAACTGGAAACTTGCCCTCCTTAAACCTAGTTGCCAACATAGCAGTCCTTCTATCTCTATCTGTTTCTTCTAAAAAAAAAAACTCAGTCTTCTAGGGATTACATTCGAGACCGGAGATACTAGCAAATTGAGAAAGAATATCCTTACCACATTTAAGAGCAATCACTGACCCTCCCATAAATATAAGCAAGTCATCAGCGAAACACAGATAAGTCAAACCAATTGGCTTACATTGGGGATGAAAAGGTAATCTCCCCTCTCTAGCTGCAGAATCAAGCATAACCGACGTAAAAAGATAAGGAGACATGGGGTTTCCCTGTCTCACTCCCTGCTGAGCTTCAAAGTTCCCAAAGAGGCTACCAAGAACTTTGATACTGAAAGTTATCGTGGTAACGCAAGATTCAATCCATTTGCATAATTGACTAGGAAACTCCATACACTTCATCACAAAGAATAAGTACTCCCAATTGACAGAATCAAAAGCCTTTCTTAGGTCTACTTTAACCGTACTACGAGAGGCAATCCTTTTCTTGTTATAGTTAGCCACCATTTCTTGCACCATAAGGATGTTATCAAGAATACTTCTACCTTTTACAAAGGCAGATTGATTCAAACTAATCACATTTGGTAGAACTTCTTGAATTCGGTTAGCCAAAATCTTTGAAATAACCTTCGACAGCACATCAATGCAAGTAATTGGACGATAAGAGTTCAAACTTATAGTATTTGGAACTTTGGGACATAGAGTAATCGAGGCTGCATTCATACCTTTGGGAAGCCTGTTTTTCCGGAAGAATTCCAAAATCCCCGCAGTTACTGATTTGCCCACGATACTCTAGGTTTTTTTTTTGAAATAACTCACTGTCCATCCATCAGGAAATGGGCTTTTCGTCGGATCCATATAAAAATAGCCTTTCTAACCTCTATTATACGAACCTGGGTGTGTGTATTTTTACCAAAGTCGTGCAGCAAACAATCAATCCAAAAATTGATTGAACTCGAATCAAGAACAACGTGTTCTTAAAACGAAAAGTGGATAAAACGGAACCAAAAGGACTATTCCACACCTGGGGAACGCTCGATTGGATTAAAGGGTAGTTGCTCGACCACGATTGAAGTGACTATTCAATCGATACACAAGCTTAGCAAGTTTGGAATCCACCAAACTGAAAACTAGTTCGCAAACTTGAACAAACCAAACAGTTTCTTTTTGATTAATCAACTCCTAGTTTTATAACGAAATAGAAAGCTTAAATAGGCCTAGCTAGGGTTACACACGTCCCATAAACTCCTAATTACAGTCTAATACGAAAAGGAATCAAAAACTACCAAAACAATGAAATCCTAACTAAAAAAGAAAAAGAAAATTTGCCTTTAGCTCCAAGTAACCAAACAGCTTTGATGCCATCTTTGAGCCTCTCGATCAAAGCCTTCCAGGTAAGTATACAATCATCTAATGCCATGTATTTGTAGTATAACATACCTACTTTCATGTGGTATAAGCCTATGGATTCGAATCTCATCCATGCTTCTGGAATGGAGCTCCAAAGTAGGCTTCTTGAACACAGTTTCTGCCTTAACCAAATTCTGGTTGTTTTCCAGTTTTGAGGTAGCAACTTTGAGGCCTTGGAAAACAACCTTAGTGACATCTTCTGGATCCAAAAATCATACCATTTCAAAGTTGGTAACTTTATCTTAAAAAAAAAACTCTTAACCTTGAATTTCCACCAAGCCAATTGAGAGAACCATGCCTCCAAACTAGGTATCTCGAAACTGTCCCAACACTTAACCAAATTCTGCCTTTCTTCTTCCCAACTTCAATAGTTTCTTTGTCAAGTAATTGTGACGTGAATGGTTGACAATTTGGGATCATATCAGACCCTCCCTCTTGAAAAAGTGTTGCCCTCAACACTTTGGCCTTTCTTTTATCGATTCGTAGAATAAATTGATCCCAAATTGAATCGAAAGTGGGCTGCTCAAACATGTTATTCTACAGAAAATTGACAACGTCAAATTTAGCTTCGATGTCTTCCGCGACCTTTGAAGATTTCATAGATGTTGTAAATAATTTCTGGGTTTGAAATACACCTACCTCATCATTCAATTTTGCCAGAATTTGATCGGAACAATACCCAGGTCGTTGGACGTCGCTCTCGTACACGTTCTTGCTCAAACAAATTGGGGGGTTTTGAATTGAGGCATCCCCAATCCAATTCACCTACTCCACACGATTCTCAGGCTTCCAATTGTAATTTTGGAACCTTCCCATAGCTCGAGTCATCACCATCATCGTCAAATCGATGAGTTTTACATTCCCGCCGTCGGCCACATTCAAAATTTCGAAACCCAGAAATCTCAATTGGAAATTGGGCGTTTTAGATTCATACTTCGTCGGGACAAATTGAATGCTTTTAATCATTCCTCGTACCTCATGTGATGATTCTACGACGTTGGATTTTCTCAAATCGAGCTGGATAGCTCCATCCAAGAGAGGGTCCTTGTCCTCGCTTTTCGTAAAAAACAGAGGCGTTTTCTTGACGATTGGATCGTCAAATCCAGGTGCATTCCAATCCAACGAGGCTTCTTCTAACGTTTCTGGAGTCGGAGCAAGAGTTTTGGCAATGGTGGCAAAGTTCGAATAATTGCTAGTGAGTCCATCCCATTGGTTCTCTCTCTTACTCTGCTCCGCGGGAACATGGCTGATTTGCGGCAATCTCGTCGACGGAGGAAGTCGATCATCTTCAACAGGATTAGGAGCTTTCCCTCGATTCATAGTCGTTCCTCCAACCTCCAATGACTCGTTTCTAGCTGTGTCGGACTCCGGCTGTCCTCCTTCGTCGTTGGCCAAGCTACGAAACGCGACACTCTGTTTTGCGGAAATAGAACAGGGGACGTTCTGGGCAGTGGGTTCAGGTAAAAAATCTTCCTTTTGAAGCTTCCTAAAGCTCATGAAACTGAAGCCCACTCGTCTCTGAACCCACAACTGAGCTTGAACGCTCTTTCCCTCGTTCCTATTCTCCTCCATCTGCTTCAAATCACCATAAACTTCATCCGGCAAAAGAGGTTTCAGAACTATCTTCCTACCGTAATGCCAAAATTTGAATTGATGTATTCGAAAATCATGAGCAACTTCGCGATCAAATTGCCACGGTCTTCCCAACATCATATGAACACAATTCATTGGCACCACATCGCAATTAACCTCGTATTCGTAACCGCCGATTTGCAAACGAACTACGATTTGCTTCGTGACATTAATCGTACTGTGTTTGTTGATCCAGCCGAGTTGGTAAGGCTCTGGATGCCTTTGTGTCGTTAATCCGAGCTTCTGGACCGCGTTTAGACTTATGACATTTGCACAGGAGCCTCCGTTGATCACGAGCGATAATAATTTCCCTTCGACCAAGCATCGACTGTGAAACAAATTGTCTCGCTATTCGTCGGACTCTCTATACTTGATGACGACTGCTGGAGGCTTTTCTTTGCCACAAAATCGAGGTTGTTGGGCCTTGGAACTTCCCTCTATCAATTGCTTAGCTCCAACCACGTTTTCCATCGCAATCTAGCTACGAACAGCACCTGCAAAGCATAAATAGGGGCTGCCCTGTTTTAGAATTAAATTCTGCTTGTACCAAGACGATTGATTGCTTCTGTAGACACCACTTTTTGTCCGGGTTAAAACCAATTTAATTAAACAAAATTTAGTTTGTATTGAAGATTTGCAATAGCGAATCTTAAATGATCTTCAAGCTAAAACATATTTGTAGCGCTTCGATTGAGTTTTGTTTGTCATAACTGAATGAGATCACAATAACAAATCTTATTTGGTTTAATTTGGAATAATGCGATTAGCATTTTGCAAATCACAGTACAATTTGATAGTATTGACATGCTTCGGTTAAACAAATCGGATGATCATATAATTGATGCTAAGACTTCGGCTCTTGCAATGATTGGGTACTAAACTTAATTGGAATTAAATCAAATATAAATAATTCTACAAGCACAATGCCATCACATAATCATTGTTAAATAGTTATTACATTAAATTTACAAACACAATACAACAATAAAATAAATTTAGGCCTAAATCAAAGTCCAAAGTCAATTTGGACCAAGCCCAAAAGTCAACCTGGTCAGGCCTAGTAGACAAAGTCAAACTGGTCAGAAATTGGTCCAACCAAACCCAGACTGGTCCGACCAAACCCACCCGGTCCGACCCAACTCCAACACTGTTCCATACTTGGGGAACAAGCTGGCTCTCATATAATAAAAAAACCCCTATCTCACGACAGCTTCTGTGGACCGGACCGATTCCCAAAAAATAGGCTGGTGATTTCCTTCTTCTTCTCCATGCCTCTGCTCACTTCTCTTTCTTCTTCCCCACGCTTTTTACTTCCCTTCATCATAAGGGTCGGCTTTCTTCTTCTTCCTCCTCTTTCTTTCTTTCTTTCTTTTTTCTTCTTCCTCACCCACCAACAGTAGAGAAAAACAGCAGGCTTCTTCTTTGGGATCTTCCTTTTTCCTTACATGGGGTTCTTTCTTCCTATTCTTATTGTTCTAAAAAAACAGAGAAGAACTCTTTAAAACTTCCCTTCCTCAACCAAAACCAAAATAGACAGAAAGAAAGAGCAATAAATCTCAGCAAAATACTCTAATTTTTTCCTTCTTGTTAACTACTCAGAAAAAGACGGAACAAAGACCCTTCAGAGTTTCTTTGTTCTTATACCAGCTCATAAACCCACACAAACAAACAGCATCCAAAGAACACACCATTATGAAAAATCCCAGTATCCAAATCAGACTAAGAACACCCACTGCTAAAGGAAGCTTACACAAAAAAACAGACACCAACACATACAACAACGAAACTACAAAGAAGGAAGCAGCAACAAGACAGCAAGCAAAGTTTGGGAAAAGAGCAATCACCCCCAAACTACAAAGAGAAAGGTTTTTAACCATCTATATCAATCATCATAATCATCTCATTTTCAGTTTTCTTTACAGTACTAGCAAACCATATGTTGGCAGAATCATAATCTAGAAAAATAAGAGTTCTTTACTTTCTGTCAACTAGCATTTCACTTTTCATAATTTATATACTTCTATCTAAATGTATTGCAAACATAATTCCATATTTTGCTCTGTATTCTGTTTTTTAACTTTCTTACCTGGCATGCTCCACCTCATTCCAACGCAATCAAGCATCAATACCATAAACCACTTTCCAAATCAAAGAATTGGCAATAAACAAAGATATCATAGTCAGAATTGGCAATAAACAAGAAAAATCAAAACCAAACGAACCCCTCACAGACTTACCGTCAGGTTTTCTTTGATTTTGCCGTCACCGGCAAGAGTTACTCTACTCTGTCTCCGAGGGCCTCTTTTCCTCCGCTGTACACGAAGCCTAAGAGCTGGCCGCCCCTGTTTCCTCTATATGGGATTGATGGTAACCAACTTTTCGTACGGAAAATGAACACCAATTTGAGTATTAGTTTCAAAGGGTAATCGTGACAGTATGAGTGTTTAACTATTCGTATGCCACCTAGTGCACCTCTAAAGGTGAAAATTATCATAATACTGGAGAGGATATTAGATTGAAATAGGTCATGAAAACCTTCATAGATAACTCAATATATGTGTTTTATATTGGTTGCATGTTTAGTTTGTACTTGTCTTGGTCTCAGAGCAACCTAGGGCACCTTGACTTTCGAATAATTAAATTAGGATTTTCTTACAAGGATGACAAGAGACCAATCCTCTGAGTTGTTGATCTTAGTGAATTAACCCAATGTCTGTCTCATCTCTCTCTCTCTAACATAACTTTTCCCTCTACTCTCCAACGGATCTTAGTAATGATGTATGCCATACTTATGACCAACAAGAGTTGGGTAGAAGTATTCAACCCCCAACAGTAGAGATTCTAAAAGGGATTGGACAACACAGGGGAAGCTCTGTTCTGGATTTTGGGAAGGAACAATTTGGAAGCCACCAGACTTTTGGGAGTCAACTTTACTATGTTAGAGTAAGAGGAAGAGAAGAGGGATATGACGGAATAGAAGATCTAGGAGGATCTACTCTACAATCTCTGGAAATAATCGATGACAGGGAGGACGGAGCCTTGAGCCAAGTGCCTTGCCACGGATAGGAATAAGCAGAGGGGGGTTAGAATTAGTAAAGATACGTATAATGAATGCTTTGACAAGAGAGACAACCACCAACAACAAAAGGGCGGTGAAGCACACCTACGGTGGAGAATCCATAAAGAGGCCAAAATAGATGGAAGAAGCGGACCTATCTGCATAAGAAATCTTCACCTCCGCACCGTCTGCTACCTGAATTTCAATCTTCTATCCCCTGCAAAAACACAATCACTTAAACCATGAATTACCCACTGTATCCCATGGATATCAATAGAAGCAGAGTTCCAAACAAAACCAAGAGGGGAGAGCATCCTCATACCATCTTCTGCAAGAGGCAGAGGTGGTCGCCCAAACCTTTCATCTTCAGGAGGCAGGGGAATGGCTATGTTGCTGGGAAGATGTTGACAGAGAATAAGGTGGCTCTGGCAAAGGCGACAGGTGCAACACGCTATGCTTGGGGAGGGTATGGAGAGATGAATGTTCAACCTACTGACTCTCAAAACATCTTCTTATTCACTTTCAATAATGAGGAAACAAGGGAGAGAATCTGGAGGGACAAACCATGGAGCTTGTCCAATACTCTAACAGCTATTGAAAAGTACAACGGAAGAGGAAACCCGAAAGATATTCTTATGGAAAAGCTGACTATGTGGGTGCAAATCCATGGCTTGCATCAAAACCAGCAAAGCGAGCAGAATATGGTGTCAGTGGGCAATGCAGTCAAAATCGTAGGATTTTAGGATTTTACTTAGTGATTTTGATCCTGATTTTACTAGGAAATTGGTGGACCTTAAAATCTTTCAAAATCGGGATTAAAATCGTTAAATTGTAAAATCGTACCAAAATTGGGATTTTGATCCTACGTGAACAAAATAGGCGGTTTGAGCCAATTTAAAAAAAATAGAACTGTTTCGGGGGAAAGGGCAATACCGGGGATCTTCTCATATATTTTTCCTATTAAAAACATTTGGATAGAAAAAAATGACCAAATTAGGGCTCGGCCAACCCCTTTCCATTTCCCTTGTTCCACTCATCGGTAAGACAATTATCATAATATTGTAAGTACGTAAGAATTAACATTATTATTAACAAATTAATTGAGTAATGAATATATTTGTACCAAACCAATGAAATTAATGATTTTATTTGAGTTCACTTATTCTTAGTTTTTAAATCATTCTTAGTAAACGATGTCAGAATACTACTTTAAGTTAAACTAACTAGACACAATATGAAAAACAAGACCAAACCCCATGGGCTCTATCCCTTTCTCATGAATTATTTTGAGTTACGCATTAAATAAGACTTAAAATGATAATTTTGGAACACTAATCTTTAGAATTATCATTTGAAATGTTATGTGTCTTTGTGTTATTAATGATTTACCTTATTAATATTATTATATGTTAGTTTCTATATGGTACTTAAAATCCTGCGATTTTACATTTCGATTTTACGATTTCGATTTTATCCCAATTTTGATTTTAGGTAAAATCTCGATTTTAACTACTTTGTCAGTGGGAACTCACTACTTCCCTGTGCTCCTCGACTTTGACCGAGCTAGCTAGGGGTTCAACGGCTACAAAAGGTTTCTAAGGATTCTGGTGGAGGTTAATCTCAAGGAACTAGTTCCTACAGGGTTCGACTTCCCCTTCACCGACGAAGCCACTGGGATTGAACACTGTGATGTGATCGATTTCAAATATGAAAGGTTAGTTGATCTATGCTACTTTTTAGGAAGAATCGGCCACAACTGGCCGACGTGCAAGAGGATGAACGAAGAGAGGAAGAACGGAGTTGCTCGTTAGATATCTACAGCTCGTCTCTTAAGACTGGAATCGAATCTCCCCATTGGCACCAATGGTGAAATTTTAGAAGCATTCGGGAGGGGGAAGGAACGTAGGGTTCATCGGCTGGGAAAGACATATTAAGATCAGGAAGCTATACTCGATTGGGAGAGGTGAGCCGGCGAGTCATCGTCAGCGGGAGAAGAATCTCGGAAGGGAAACATCTTATCCCACCGGGATTCACACTGATAAGGCTAGAGCAAGAAGTTCAGGAAGCGGAGGAACAAGAAGCACAAGGGAGACAAAGAGGCAGATAAAGGGAAGAGATGGGGGCAAAAGATTTGGGTTTGGAGATGGACAGGGCGGCGGCGGCGATTGATGGAGGCTTGAGATTGGAATAGGAGAGAAATTTCCAGGAAGCCGAACAAATGGCCACCGCGGTGGAGAGAGGGTTGTTGCTTGGGTCGTATCATCAAGTCTCCTCAGCTCAACATCATGTCTTAGTGGGCTTGGCTGAATCTGCTAACTACCAGCACATACATGAAGGATTGGAGGAGGACTTGGGCCACGGGATGAAGAAAAGGAAAGGAATAGGCCTAGCAACAGATTTAAATGAGGAAGCCAGTGCATCTTTGAGCCTAGCAGATGTCACTTTCATGGGTGGTCCTGGGGGGATGAACAAAAAGAAGAAGAATCAGAAGTATAAGCCTCACCAACTTGATAGCTCAAAGGGGAATCACTCGGAGAGAGATCAAGAGGACACTAGACGGAGAGGAAAGGCAGCAGTGGTTCGCCAGAAGCCACCTCTTTAGGAATGAGTATTGTAAGTTGGAATTGTAGAGGATTTGGCCCGCCCCTTAAAAGAAGTTATGCAAAGCTTCTTTGTAAACGCTTAGGCCCTTCTATTTTTTTCCTCATGGAAATGAACAAGAATGAGGCGTTCATGGAGGAACAAAGAAGAAGTCTCAAAATTTTCCCCAATAGAGAGTATGTTGAATCGGTTAACTCTTCTATGGGTTTTGCATTATGGTGGAAAGCGGGTATTAGTATTAATGTTTTAAGTAGTGATAGCTACTATATAGATGTTATTATTGATATGGGTAGAAATTTTTTTGTACTTTTGTTCATGCACCCTCTACCATTGTTAGTAGAAGGGTTTTTTGGGAGCACCTGAGCTCTCTTCGGAGTAGTAGGGAGGATAATTGGGTTGTTGTAGGGGATTTCAATGATGTTATCTATGAAAACGAAAAAGATGGTAGATGTCCCCTTAGGTACGAGAATGTTGAACCCTTTAAAAGGTTCATTTTCCATAATGCTCTTTTTGATCTAGGATTTAAAGGAGAGCATTTTACCTGGACAAATAAGAGGACATGGCAGAATACATCGAGAGTCTGTTTAGACCGAGTGTTATGCTTGGCATCTTGGAGAACCCTCTTCGGGGAGGCGATTGTCTTGCATGAGAAGATGGTGGAATAAGATCATTGCCCAATTAGACTGGAGCTCCACTACAGAGGTAATAGAAGGAGAAAGACGCCTTTTAGGGTAGATGAGAGATGGTTGGATAAAGAAGAATGTAAGGAAATTGTGGCCCGAGCATGGGACCCGGGGGGTCAATCGTCCAACCAGCTTAGCAAATGTGAGCGGGAACTCAAAGAGTGGTCAAAGGATTTCCATAGAAACAGTTTACAAAGGGAGAATGTTATTCTTGATCGACTTGAGATACTTCAGCGCTCGCCCAGAACACAGGATGGTGCGGAAGAAGAGAAGACTTTCATGGAAGAACTGTCGAAAATATGGATGGAAGAGGAACCCTTCTGGAATCAGTGTTCGAGAGTGAATTGGCTTCATAAAGGTGACCAGAATAGTTCTTTTTACATTCGAGTACTATTCATAGAAAACAAAAGAACAAAATCCTTAGACTCAAGGACATTGGGGGAGATTGGGTGGAAGATGCGAATAGGCTTAAAGGATTATCCCAATATTTCTACAAATAGCTTTTTAGAGCTAGAAACCCTATTTTGTTTAACCAAAATGGATATGATTCCATTGGAGTCAATTTACAAGCTTGAATTGCTTGACCGAGAAGCATTCCAAATCACTAACAAGGTCCTTGACTTTTGGCTAAATTTGAGAATGTTTCAGGTACGCTACAGTGTACGTATGCAATATTGAATTGGCTGGATGAAAATGGACAATCAAGGCTTGTTTTGAAGCTCAAGGCATCCTCTACACGAAGACAGGCTTTGGAGCTCAATTTGAAGTGCAGAAGGTGGGGTTTCTTGCTGTGGAAAAGTGGAAGTCAAAACTGGAGAACTGCCTAAAATTCACTAAGGCATGGAACGTGTTCGAGATGACCACTTTGGATCTCTATTCGAAGAGCAAGGAAGAGAGTCGAGCTTCGAGGCCTCAGCCATATGAAAGTGGGTATCTTCTAATACAAATGCGATGCATAGGGTGAAGGAACTGATACCTGGAAGGCATTGAATGAAGGACAACAACTTCTTCTGGACACTGCCTATTGGCGTGGGAAGGCTAAGGAAATCCAAATCCTGTTCAGATTAGGATTTGTTCTCAGTTTTGGATTTCTTTACCTTTTCGTGTTAGATTTGATTTCCTTTGAGTCCTAGTTTTTTTAGGGTGTTATTTACTTGCGTTGTAAGATTAGTTCGCTTATTTTAACTCATGTCTACGATTTAATAGTCAGTTTTGAGAATTAATCGAATAAACCGATAGTTTATCGCCATAGCTTCGTGCTTGTGGATTCTAGAGATCGTCCTAGGGTTTTCTAGGCTTGATCTTGTGCTTGTATCGTTCAATTAGTCACATTGAGCATGGCCAAGCTTCGACTTATACTTCTCGAGCTTCTTTCCCCTCGTGAAAGCTGCACGAAAGTTCCATCACAAACTGAACGTGAGAACCCTGTTTTGTATTCTTTCTTTTCCAGGTTCAATCCAATCCTGGGATTGAGTCTAAGCTGCATTTCTCTGATCACACACCCATCTATGGCGTATTACATATGTTGGAGGGATCCCCAGAAAGTGTCACCGCAGAGATGAATAAAGCACTCTGTGCGCCTGTAACCAATGAGGAAAATATGAACACATTCTTTACTTTACGAGCGAGGAAAAGCTCCTGGTCCGGATGGTTTCTCAGGTCGGTTCTATCAACGCTTCTGGGATATCATTGGGGAGACGTTGTGCAGAGAAATTAAAGACTTTTTCGAGTCTGTCTCAATGCCCAATGGTTGGAATGACACGCATATTGTTATGATTTCCAAGGTTGATAACCCAGAGATGATAAGCCAATTTCGTCCAATCAATTGCTGCAATTTTATATATAAAGTTATATCCAAAATTAAGGCGAATCGCCTTAAGATTTGGACACCTGACCTGGTCTCAGAGCTTTAGACTACCTTCACCGTGGGGGAGGCTTATACAAGACAACATCATCATTTTCCACGAAGTACTCCATCATTTTAAGAACCAAAAGCTGGGAAGAAGAAGAGACATGTTGCTAAAGCTAGATATGAAGAAGGCGTATGATATGGTGGATTGGGACTGCTTGGAAACTCTTCTGAAGAGTTATGGGTTTGATGAGAGGTGGTGTAAGTGGGTCAGTTCGTGCATCAGGTCGGTTCGATTTTCCATCCTCTTCAATGGGGAAGCAACTGAGGAGTTCAGACCGTCGCGAGGCATCAGACAGAGAGACCCACTATCCCCTTTCCTCTTCATTCTCATGTCAAATGCACTCTCCTTTTTAATTGATAAGGCGGTTATCCAGGATCAATTAAAAGGGATCAAACTAAACTCTAGATGCCCTGTGCTCACCCACTTTTTGTTTGCAGATGATACAGTCATTTTTGGTAGAGCAAACCATCAAGAAGCTGCAAAAATCCTGGAACTCATAAGAGACTATGGAACAATCACAGGGCAAGAAGTGAATATCAATGTGTCTTCAATTTCTTCAGCGTGAATGTCCCACCACATCGGATTCTCCTCATCTAATTGTCACTCAAAGTATTTGGGGGTTCCGACAAAGTGGGTCAATTCAAAGAAGGAAACTTTTCAATTCCTCATTCAGAGAATGGAGAAGATGGGGGAAGCTTAGAAAAGTCTCCTTCTCTCTCATGGAGAGAAATAAATCTTGCTCAAAGGTGTTATTCAAGCTATCCCCTCCTACATCATGTACCTTTAACACCTCCCCGTGACCCTTACCAAGAAAATGGACTCTCTCCTTACCAATTTCTTCTGGTCAAGATCAATGTAGAAGACTAGTCTTCACTGGTGTAGGGAAGAGATACTGTGCGCTCCTAAATCGGAAGGGGGCTTAGGATTTCGAAATTTCAAAGACGTTAACATGGACCTTTTGGCTAAGCAAGCATGGCGGCTCCTAAACTCACATGGTTCCTGTTGGTGTCGTCTTCTCAAGGGCCTCTATTTCCCGATAGGGGACTTTCTCCAAGCAAAAAAGGGTAGTAGATCTTCTTGGATTTGGGCTAGTGTTTGAGAGGCAAAAAAACAATCATCAACATGGGAGCTATCAAGGTCATAGGGTCGGGAAAGGATATTTGGGTTGGTCTTGTCCTGTGGATCCCAACTCTACACAACTTTGGCATTAGTAGTGGTCCAAGTAGAGCCCGAGGGTTAATGATTGTTTCAATGCCATGTTAACAAAAGGAAAAGGTGGAGTTGTGTATGTCTACAAGGGTTCGAGAAAGGTACTGAAAGGCGTGAAATGTGGTAACTTGTATGCATTACAAGGAAATGTGTTGTCAGGTTCTGTGCATTTGCATCATCTCAGGTTCATGATGAAGATATGATCACTCTCTAGCACATGAGACTGGGGCATATGAGTGAATGGGGGATGCAAGTTCTGTCAAAGAGGGATATTCTTTGCGGGCACAAGGTGCAGAATTTGGAGTTCTGTGAGCATTGTGTGTTTGGGAAGCTACATCGCTGCAAGTTTCCCAAGAAGGGTATCCACCGGACGAAGGGGATACTGGATTACCTCCACTTCGACTGTTGGGGTCCTTCATGAGTTGAATCCATTGGAGGCAACATGTAGTTTCTGTCTATTATTGATGATTATTCGAGATTTACTTGGATTTTCATGATGAAGCAGAAAAGTGAGGCTTTCACGAAGTTCAAGCAGTCGAAGACATTGGTGGAGAATCAGACCGGGAAGAAGATCAAGAAGCTGCGAACGGACAATGGTCTGGAGTTCTGCAATTTTGATTTCAACGAGTTCTGCAAGGATGAAGGGATTGCCCGTCATTGGACCATTAGAGATACACCCCAGCAGAATGACTTTGGAGAAAGGATAAACCAAACATTGTTGGCGAGAGCATGGTGCATGCTCTCTAATGCTGGACTAGAGAGAAGATTCTGGACAGAAGTAGTAAACATGGCGTGCTTCTTGATCAACCGTGGACCTCACACAAGTATCGAGTGTAAGACTCCTTATGAAGTGTGTTATGGTAAGCCTGCTGATTACTCTTCAATGAAAGTTTTTGGGTGTCCTGTTTATTATCATGTGGATGAGGGTAAACTGAACCCAAGGGCAAAGAAGGGTGTATTTGTGGGTCACCGAGATGGAGTTAACGGATTTCGAGTCTGGTCACCTTCCGAGCATCGAGTTATACTCAGTAGAACTGTGATATCTGATGAGAAGTCTATACTTAACCCCATGCTGAAGGTTACCTATTGTTGAAGGTAGAAGGAATGTTGATAAGCAGGTGGAGCTGCAAACTCTCAATGAGAGTGAGTTTGAGCACCAAGGCGGAGAAGATCAACATGAGAATGTTTCTGCAGAGCCAGAAAATTCAGAGTCTAGTGCACGAGCTATATTGTCTATGGTTTCCGATAGACCGAAGAGAGCGACTACAGGAGTACCTCCACAGAGGTATGGCTTCGAGGACATGGTGGTGTATTCATTTCAGGTTACTGGAGAAATAGATGTAGGTGAACCACAATCGTATAGAGAAGATGTTTCGGGTGGCGAAGCTGATCAGTGGCTTGCCGCAATGGGAGATGAGATGAAATCCCATGACAGGAATCAGACTTGGGAGCTAGTCAAACGACCACAGGGAAGTAAGATTGTTACAAACAAGTGGATCTACAAGAAGAAGGAAGGAATCACTTCTGAAGAGGGAATGAAATTTAATGCTCAAGTGGTTGCACGAGGCTTCTCGCAGAGGGAAGGAGTTGACTACAATGAGATTTTCTCATCAGTGGTTAGACATACTTTGATTAGGGTGCTACTAGCAATAGTGGCATATTATGACTTGGAGCTCGAGAAGCTAGATCTGAAGATAGCTTTCCTACATGGATAGTTGGAGGTGATTTTGATTAAGAGCTTTCACCAACAGCTGACAGTCAGATTGAACTGTACATTCTGATCCATATTCTTATGCTAATTTTAGATCTTCCAAAAGAGCTTCCGCTTCCGCTTCAATCGGGGTGGAACAAATAAGAGTCTCAGCTCTCCCATCACACTTGTCCATGGTGGTTAACAACCACGAAACCATAAGTCGTAGTCTGGGAGTCGCTTAAGAATGACCCATCATAGTGAATCACCAACGAGTGATTACTTGGCGGGGGATTCGTAGTATGTTGGGTTCCCCTGAGTTGAGTAGGAGAGGTGAGGTTGGGAGGTGGGGACCTCGGGCAGGAAATCCATTCCGTAAGTTTCCTGTCTCTGCAATCCTGTCGGTTGAAAGTTTGTGTTTGCTTTGTGAAAAGCATGGTAAGCAGTCTTAACCGAGAAACCACCATCCTTGGGGAGACTCCAGGCCCAAAAATCATATTACTCCTCTTCCCTAATTGGAATTCTAAGGATAGCTTCCATTTCCTCAGCAATCCAACATTTACATCCAAACATCCTGAATAATAAATAACGACAAATGAGTCCAAAATAATCAGTTTCTGACACTAGGTCTAAACACCAACCACACTTCCTTAATCGAAAATCTTCCCATAATATGTCCATTCCACACTCCAACACCACCTGCTATAGACATTAAGGGATCGTTTGGAGAATATGAGTTTAAATCTATAGATTGTAAAAAATCTAAAGATTCCAACTCTTCAGATTGTTGAAAATAGATTTTAAAATGTTTGCTATTTGATAACTGTGATTGTTAACATTCAATGAAAATAAAAAATTTATATTAAATAACATGTTTATCCTTAATAAAAAATTAGAGTGGTACGAGAAATATTAAAAAATTTATTGATAAATATATTTAGTATGATAAATAAATAAAAAAGAGAAAAAGTAGGAGAAAAAAAATCTTACGAATCAAGATATAGAATCTCTCTAATTATGAGAGATTTTATATCCGTAGATTTTAAATATTTGAAATCTCTAAAACTAAAATCCACAATACAAAAAGCAACAAAAAACACAACTTTCTACAAAATCTACGAATTCAATGATTTCACGCCATAAATCTCGTTCTCCAAACAACCCCTAAGTTATGCACTTTGTTCCTGGATTGAAGTAACTTAAGCCAAATCCAAAAACCAACTTTATTGTCAACATTCCAAAACTTCTCTTAATCCTATATTCATACATCCAAGCAACCTAGAGAGACCTTTGCTTTAGCAAGAGGTCCCAACTATGGCTCACTATACATGCCAAACCAACTACAAAAGCACCTAAGACTTTAACCACCTTGATTCTTAAGGATAGTTAAAAACTTTCAAGGCACAACTGCTTTTTTCCTGCCACCTTCACCAA